TGGCCCTGCAAGAAGACATTCGTTCTTGTTAAACCCAACCGGAGACTTCGTGCGATGGCCTCAGCCATGAGCCTCTACATAAGGGCCAAATTTGGGGATACTGTAAGAGGCTGTTAGCCAAATCCATAAACTATCCTGCTGCAGTTGTGTATAGCCGAATATAATAAAGCATTTTTGGTAAGATTTAAAAGTTTCTCCTTGAAGGGCATTCATGGAGAACATCAAATTTGCACAGGTTTTTCAAAATTATGCAGAAATAACTTGTCAGACGGAGATATGCAAAACTTTAGGACTTGTTTCATCTTTGTAGAAAATCTCCACTTTTATTCTATCAAGCGTTGATGCGAACATAATGGTGGTTAACACTGAATGAATCAGTTAGTCGTGTGCTTGGCGCTCTTGCAAGTAGTTTATGGTTGTCAAATGGAAGGACAATAGTAAATGAAAGGCAGGAGGCAGACCAAAAGAGTCAAGCATAACCATGAGCTTAGGGGTGGGCATAGCATACTAGGTGAATTTGCTTTTTGGCCTCCTCTGAGACTTTAAAACTTTTTTTAACACTGCATCTCTCTCTCCTAGACTGTCACGAGTCTCAACTGGTCGCGAGGTTAACCACTAGGACCCAGATTGGATTGAGGAAGATTGGTACTTGATGAAGTGCAGCGTAGATGTAGTGTGAGTATGAACATGATGTACCAAACACTGCATCGTATCTGAGTTGATCAGAGTGATAACCTTTGATTTTTATTTAATTAATAGATAATAGATAAAACATAATTGTTTCTGCTTTGTTGATCTCATATAAAAGCCTAGGACAAGAATTAGTTATTCTCCTCGAATTAAATCTTTTTGAGCAAAACGAAAATGGTGTAATTCATTGAAATAAATTTTGCAACAAGTAAATGAAGCCGAAAAGGCTCAATTTACTTAAGTGAGCAGATTGGGCTTCTATATAACTGACGGTTTGGTAAAATGTTTTTGTTTCCCAAATGTAAATTTTATAGGAGGAATTTTAACGAGTCTTAAATTGAAATTGCTTCTTATGTCTCTATGAGATATTTGTTAGACGCAGACACACCATAAACGGTTAAATAGAGGAAACTTTTCCTTTTGAAGTTAGAAAAGATGTGGCAAGAATGGTGTTCTCTCAATTATAGTTTGCGTCATTTGATTTGTAAAAAGTTTGAAATTTTGTTCGTTCAGCTGATTGTAAAGTTGTTTGAATAGTATATTTTCAGATTAACACTGCTTATACGTTCTCCATCTATATGAAAAGCTCTGACTATCCTCAAACCAATCAGTGCAATGTTAAGAAATGTTTCGTACTTATTGCATTCATAGCTGCATCATTATTATATTATGTATTCATGCTTCCTGACCTACGCCTCAATTGGGGTAATATGTGAGTTTTCCTAAACACTATTCTATTGGAAAATCTGCCGCTTTGAAAATCGTATTAATCAATCTATAGCCCATTTCAGATTAGAGCTCACAAATCTATCAGTTCCTGCTTTGAGCGAGTACGTTAACCTTCTAGACAAAATAGGTAAGATGTCTCTCATCGTTTTAGTGACAGTAGATGACAGTAAACAGTAGATTCAGATGTAAACTGCGAGAAAATCCTCCAAGGTGATAAACAAATTATCGAGGACGCTAAACGTTGGGTGTATGACGCTGGCTACGCTGAAAAGGCACTGTTTGAAGCAAGAGACAAGTAAGATCTTTTTTATCACAGCCCATAAATTATAGCATATACACTGTAAACGAGAATGTTATCTATTATAAGTAATCTTTCCGCTACTTCTTTCGCGCCATATCAGCTTGTTCATGAGCATATTAAAATAGTAGTTCATTCTCTTTGAAGCTTACATGCCGATAAACGAAGGATATTTAAAGTTTATCAAAACATGTCCTTCATATCAATAAATCATTCTACACTGTTTCTCAAAGACACTTTTTAAATATTTTTCTATTTTTGGTTTTGTGTTATCACACATTGAATAAAATTCAAACTTTACGTCTTTGCGATTCATGGCTGTTTTCTTAGAAGTAAGAATACGTTTTTTTTAAGGTACACTTTGATTTTACTAGTAATAATTTCTAAGCGGAGGACCGAACATTAGGGATATGAAGAAAGGGCTTTATTCATGTTAGACGCTGCGGTCGCATCGGCGCAAATATCTTCGAAGATAAGTGCACCGATGCGAATTGCACAGACAAACAAATATATCAATACAATATCTAATCGAATATACCAGGCCTCGGTACGAGGTTGCCGTCAGACTCACGGAACAATACCCACTTGAAAACCTAGAAAGTCTTTTTTTTTGTAAAAACACGTGACATGAGTGCTGTAGTACAATTCGCTTGGAGATCCAGGTTTCTACTAAAAAAGAAAGAAAGTGCTTTATTTCTGTTATTGCGCCTAGGTTGAGTCGAGGGGTTCATGAAGATATTTGACTCCAGAGGTGTAAAATTACGAAGAACAAGAAAAAGTTTACTAATCGGAAACGTGAGGTCTCCCGTAGGTCTCCGCCGAAGATCTAAAAAATATGGTTTTTAACGTGGATTCTAAAAGTTTTGCACACAATTTGTGAACTTTCGTTGCACATCTTCTGTTTCAATTTGGAGGCTGTTCATCGGCTATTCGCTTAGGTAAATGTGTTTGAATGGATTACTGAAAATGTATTTCTGAACTTTTCTCGCTAATGGGCTGTCATATCTTGGAGCAATTTGTGGATATGTTGGTCATGTGACAGGTAGTTATCAGAGAAGACTGTAATGCTAGCAATGAAAAAGGCGAAATCGGAAGGAGAGTTCCCTTGAACTTCCGAACCCTAAACTTCCTCTTTGCTTTTCTCTTCAAAAACGATTAGCAGCTTGCCCTTGCGAGATTCATCTAATCGGTATAGTCCCGCATGAGGCCTGGACTATACCGAATGAATGCAGCAAAGTACGGCCAAAAGCGGCGGACTTAGCGGCAACGCGACTGTTTGGCGCTGCCGCAGAATCTATAATCGT